ATCCTCCACATCTTCTCCAGCTCTTCTTTGAGCCCTTGGATTTTCTCGAGCTTCTCGTGTTCTATCTTTCTGATGTTGCTGTCATTCGGAACCGCTACATCGATCGCTACGGCCGTCGTCTTCTGTTTGTCTACCACCACTATGTCCGATTGGAAGTCCCACAGGATCTTAGCTCGGTCATTCTCCATCACCCTTGGGGGCGTCTCCCATTTTGACCTCAGGACTTCCAGGTTATACTCGGCACAGATGTTCCTGTACACTATGCCGGCCACTTGGTTATGGCGTTCCATGTATGCCCTGCCTGCTAGCATCTTGCACCCTGCTGTTATGTGCTGGATTGTCTGAGGGACATCTTTACATAGCCTGCACCTGGGGTCTTACCAGGTGTGATAGACTCCGGCCATGATTAGTGCCTCTGTGCTGTCTTTCAGTCCAGCTTTGTCCAGCCTCTGATAGGATTTCTGGATGTCAGCCACCTCCGCTATCTGCCGGTGGTACATACCGTGCAGATAGTGGAGGTGGCTGACACCTCCGCTGTCTGCACTATAAAGGAATAAGAAAAGGAAAATTAGACCCTTACATTCTGGCATGTTGTTGGACATCCCTCATTGTGATGTTTTTTCTTCATTACATTTTAACTGTGAAATCGAGTTAATAATCTTGCTCTAAGACATAAAATATGATCCTTCAAAGTGTATGTTTTATTTAGATATAATAAACATCACTGCGGTGCCTGCTGAGCGTTGACCTTAATTACTAAAAACATGAAAAAGTATTTGTGATGTGTTGGACATCAGTACTGACAAATCTCTGATTTTCCTCTTACAGCTCATGGAGTGAAACCAACACCTGACCTTTGCTGTTTTAAATTCTATGAGAGAAAGATCCCAACAAAGCAGATCAAATCCATCAAAAAAACTCACAGCAAATGCACGACACCAGCATTTGTGTAAGTTTGTCTTTCACAGTCTCTTTAACACAGTCACAGATATTTGCCAAAATAATGTATTATCCTCCACTGTAGAATATACTGGCTGTAGCTCAGGCGGTAGAGCAGGTTATCTACTGATTGCAAGGTCGGTGGGTTGATTGCCGGCTTTCCCCCAGTCTGCATGCCAAATATCCTTGGGCAAGATACTAACCCCAAATTGCTCTCTGATGCATCCAATGGAGTATGAATGTGTGTGTGCATGTTAGTTAGAAAGCACTTAGAAAAATGTGTTTGTGTGAATGCACAAGTTGTGTAAAGTGCTTTGAGTGCTCAGAAGAGTAGAAAGCGCTGTATAAGAACCAGTCCATTTACCATTTAAAAGTTAATATGGAGCAAAATAATGATACAGATTTTTCTGCAGGATCAAGACACCCAGAGGAGATTTCTGCGTGAGACAGAATGAGAATTGGGCACTGAAAGCATTTGTCCAAAGCAAATAACACAATTAAGAGATGGAGACTCTACTGCACAATAAGCCGAACTGCATCAATTACTCCATGAATTTGCTTTTTAATCCAGATGTATTGCTGTAGTGTTGACCTCTCAATAATGTGCCTGCTTAATTACTGTCAGCATTTCTGAAGACAAGATACATTTATTATGCATTGATTTAATTCAAAATAAAGATATCAATTTTAGAATTTGAATGAAATGTTAAAAATTATTTTTCTGAGGTTTTCTGTTTCGTTGCCACAGGTATATGAAATCAAACACATCTTTACAATTGGCAGTCTTTACAAACATTTGTGAAAGAATCAGTCGCTTTGAAGACTGTGAGACTTCTGTCTTTGAAATACCACAATAATCTGAAAGTGAAAGCATTCAGTGGCAGATTGGATAAAGTTACATGGTGGGGTTGGAGAGTGCAGAGACAGAGGGCTTTAAAAAGGTATCCAGTGCACTGCTGACTCAGCATCATGTGTTTCCATGGCCTGTGGGTGTAGCGTGTAGGTGGCCCAAACTTTTGTCCACACTGCCTACATTCACTTACAGCATGTTGTCCCAGCTTGATGTGACAAACTTGTCACATGTCCCAAAGAGCGCTGCTAGGCTTTCTTTGGTCTTGGAGATGTTCTTCAAAGCTCTGAGGTGTGTTTTGGGCTCATTAACATTCTGCTCTGTAACTTACTTTCCCACAAACATCCAAATCACAGTTGAAGTGCATTTCTCAAGAATGCAGTGCCACTTGTCCTCAGTCAGGGTGCAGTTGATTTCAGTTCAGGTTACCACCTGTAGAGCAGGAAACACCTCCTTATACTCCACTTTATTTTCCTGCTGCTTATCTCATACTGAGCTGTCGTTAATTTGAAATATTTTTGATTTTGCAGACTTTGAGGTTATTTCCAGGTTCAGATTTGTTTTCACTTTGCCATTGTGATACAGATGCAGTATATCCAAAGCATTTGTATCTCACTTTGTATTGTTTTGCTTCATTCTTGAATAAAGTTTTGTTTCACACAAATCAACGACTCCATCTGACAGTGAATGTGTTCTTTTATGCGGTGGCCTAATTAATGGAATTCATCAGAATGCAGGTTATAAAAGTTTGTTAATGTAGTTGAAGGTCAAAGTGGAAAATGTGTCATAGGGAGAACTTTCACAAACTCATTATCTGAACGTGGGAAAATTATCTGAGCTGCTCTGAAGTTGAATGTGAATCTGCACAGACGTTTAAGTAAACAAATGCAATGTGAAAACTGGAAGTCATCAATAGTTATCAAAAGTTTAAAATTAAAGTGTAAAGAAATATTTTCATATTCATACATTTTGAATTTTCCATGTGAGAGAAGGAGTGGATTACTTTAAGACTTCATGAAGATGTGCTTTTTAGGGGGTAACCAGATTAGGAGTACTGGCCTTCAGGCCCATGTGACAAACAGAGGGAAATGGTCAGGCTGCTTTGAGGTGACAGGATGGAAACAGTAACTCAAATAACCACAGCAAAAGCACACACCGAGTGCTGCTCAAGTCAGTCATAAACAAAACTTTCCATGTGGAGGAGGAGGGGTGGATATTACTTTAAGTTTCCCTAAAGAAAAACACTTTTTAAAAAGAAAATTGCTTTGACTTTATACAAAAGCTAACAAAACTTTCTATGTAGTTTTGTTAGCTTTTATCATTTCACAATTTCAGATGTTAAACAGTAAGTGACCATATATATAGCCTGCTATGTATCAATAGTTCAGGCTGCTGCTAATAGAGTAAGGGTATGGAAGATAAACTACACTGCTGGCAGGGTTTAATACAACCAACTGGCACTAAGAATAATGAGGGTGCCCAGAGGACAATAACAGTATGTGTGTATGAGATTTAAAGATCATTGCATTTCATTTTTATTTACATTTTACAAAGCATCCCAAGATTTTTGGAGTTTTCCAGAGGAACAGAATGCTGTTTGAAATCCACGTAAATGTTACCACTGGAGGGTGAGCAGGCCAATGGGGAATTTGAGGAAGGTAATTCAGATTGGTTTGATGAGTGTAGCTGCTTGCATGGTGATGAGGACTGGAGATAGGAGGCTCTTCAGTCGGCAGAAGGACCACTAGAAACAAGGAGACGTAAGAGCAAGAACACAAGGTAGCCTCTTGGAGAATTCTGTTTGGACTGTTACACTCCTCTTTGGAGGCAAGAGACGAGCACAGCAGGTCTTATTACACTGTCATTAATGATGTAGATGATAATCAGGTGTGTTCGGCTGAAGAACAAAGAATCCAATCTACGTCCAATGACCAACTTGGTAGAGAGAGAAACTGAAAACAAACCAGCACTCATTATTGTCAACGGGCACCGGGTACGTGGGAGGGATCCAGACACTGGCGGAAGGTTGATCACAAGCTTAATAATAAATAATAAGAAAAATAATAATACATACAGAGAGATAAGCAATGACACAGTGTGGATATGTAGTGGGGAGTTTCTGACATGAAGGTACATGAAGGTATTTCTGCTAATTTACATTGACTTTTAACATTATTATTTCAGTGAAACAATAAACGACCTTTCTATTTTTTAATGTTAAGGTAAAACAATCTGTAGTATCCTGTTAAAAACAGCTTGCTTGTATGCTGATAAGGACTAAGAACAGGAGGCTCTTCAGTCAGCAGAAGAACCACTAGAAACAAGGAGAGCACGTAAGCGTAAGAGCAAGAACACTTAGAGAACTAAGAGGCCTGTTACACTCCTCTTTGGAGGCAGAATATTATGCAGAGACGTGCACGGCAGGTCTTACCACACTGCCGCTGATGAAGTAGATGATAATCGATGTGTTTGGCTGAAGAATCAGATATCCAATCTCCACCCAATGATCAAGCTGGGGGAAAGAGAGAAACTGAAAACAAACCAACACTCATTATTGTCAATGGGGCCCGGAGGCCAGTATGTGGGTGGGGACCCAAATCAAAAGACAGGCGGAGGGTTTTTCACAAGCTTTATTATAAACAGAGAGATAAGCAATGACACACCATGGAAATGTGGCAGCGAGAAGATGGTTTCTGAATTTGAAGCTTACTTTGCAGGTTAGAATTGTAAGGTTCTGGAGGCCTGCTTACCACAGTTAGGTAGCTGATGAACTGGCGCTGAATACATCTTAAGTGCTGCCTCGCTGATTGCTGTCAGTGTATATTGACAAATGGCTATAGCCTGGAAATATGGTGCACCTAGCATTCAGACAAATATACAGGGTGTAAACATAATACATCCATACTACATATTATTGTGTGGAAAAACTGAGTATCAATATACAAATGCATCAGATATCAGCAAATGTTTCAAATGTTGTCTCGCGATTCTACTGCCGACTTTCACTGCAGCCTGAGTAAAGGAAGGTTGGGCAGAAAGTGAAGATTGGGACTAAGCATGCATTATCAGTGCATGTATTTATTGGTAGAGCACCGAGTGGTTTGTTTGAGCGTTTTATCAGATATATTGAGTCCCTGAAACTTCCTGTTGTCTCATGGTACAGAAAAAACCCAATCTATTAACCACCTTTGGGGTTGTTGATCATTTTTCCAGTTTCTAAGAAGTGGTTTGAATATGCAGATGAGAACGTGACTTAAAGCAGGGTGATCGGACCGATCATTCAGACATCTTCTGAAACATCAGCATCATCAGGTCTACAGTGAAGTCAGCATGAAGACTCTCAGCCTGACAGTGGGACTGCTGCTCGTGCTGTTCACCGTTTACCACAGTGATGCCTGTAAGTCTGCTACTTGTACTTGTGTTAGATCAGTTTTTGAATTTCTGTCTTTCTCTTCATTCAGACACAGAGTGAGACAGAGCGAGGACATCAAACTCATATAAGTTCATGGTCATGAAGACCAGTGTTGATCTTAAATTCTTTACTGTAATTAAAAGTCAGATTGAATCCTCGTGTAAACAAGTGTGGTCACATGTCCGGCATGTACTTCACTGAGACATATTTATTTTTTTAACTTAAATAGGAGCCTTCAAACTGTATCTTTCATTAAGATATAACAAATTGTATTTTGTTGCATTAACCTTAATTATATCTGGTATGTTGGAGAAGTCATTAGAAGCAGCCACAGCACTGAGTAATCCCTGTTTTTCTGTTACAGCTAAGGCAGTGAATTCACCCGACTCTTGTTGTTTTCACTTCTTTGACAAACGGATCCCAAAGGCGAACATCGTCTCCATCGTGAAAACTCACAGACAATGCTCCACACCAGCATTTGTGTAAGTTTGTCTTTCACTGTCTCTTTGATACAATCACTAATGTTTGCCAAGTAAGTCATGCATAAGCAATGTATAATCGTTGAGATTGAAGCCGTAACTCTGCTATTAACCGTAAAATGTGTGAATATGAGAGCAAAATAATGATACTGACTTTTGTACAGGATCGAGACACCCAGAGGGCTTTTCTGTGTGAAACAGACTGCAGAGTGGGCAAAAGAACAATTTGACAACAAAAAGGGATTTTGACCCAGCTTGATATGACAATGTCTTAAAGAGCTTCATCTGATGAGGAAAGTTTATAATGCAACAATATGTAAAAACATGTATTGAATTATTTTATAATTTTCTTTCACTATGCAATTGAAATCATTTTTCTATCACATTGTGTTGTTTTGCTTTATTCTTCATTAAAGTTTCATTTCACAAAACTCATCGACTTCATCTGATAGTGAATGTAAAAGTATGTGTGGTTTGTGGCTCAGCTGCAGGGGAGGGGTGGAGTAGCGGGTGCAGGGTGTGGTGTCAGGGAAGGCTGAACCCAGGGGCGATTCTAGGATCAGAGCTTTGGGGGTGCTGAGCACCCAGAGAGCTGCCCAGCCAGGCAAGATAAACCTGTCTCTGTCCGTCCCTGCATCCTTAAATGTTGTCCCGAGTTCTCTCTGACTGTCACTTTGGTGCATTTAAACCCCTGTTCCTCCCTGTCCTCATCGTCTGTTGTCTTAGTCTCCGTTATCAGTCATCATAATTTTACCATCTCTGTGCAAGTCAGCAAATTTCTTTATTAAATCATAAGATTCTTAAATTCATCAAGTCTCTCTGTGCCTGGATCCTCGTCACAAAACATGACATCACTGTTTTGTGCATTTTAACACAATTTAATCCCCACATTTGTGAAAGAAAAGCAAAACACTTTTTTGAAAAGTCTGTAACAAAACCATCAAATCTGATAAAGGTTATTTAAATGCTGCAAAAGAAGAATGGATTTGAATAAAAAAAAATACACATCCTAACCTTAATTACTGGGGGAGAATAATGAATGATGTGCATTTTTTGGACAGAGATTCACTTTTAATGTGTATGTATAATATAATACAGATAAATAAAAATACTCCCAAAACAGAATAAATTATTACAAAATATTAATAAAAACTATAAAAATGGAGGCAACTTTGCCCGTGGTTGAATGTATACAATGTATGAAAAAGTCTTTATTGCAGATGCTAATTTTACTAATTTATTAATAATAATTTTGTGTCGTAAGATTTATGACTTTCATGCTTTCATAGTGGTGCTTGGGAGAGCTTGACATTTTTATCAGGTGGTGCACATTGTAAAAAGTTTGAGAAACACTGATAAGTGTATGTGTGCTTTTGGAAAACATTTAAAGCTGCAGTACAGAATCTTAGAAACAAGCTTAAAACATTTTTAGAATATAAACAGAGCTTCTGCTTCTCTTTACAGCTCCTCACTCCACCAGGGCTGTTTGGCACTTTCTGATAGTGTGCAAATGGGATGCACGTACTGCGGCAGTCATACAGACAACTGGACGGTCCAAATGTTGGCCTACCTATTACTGGCTGAGGTTTTAGTAGAGTTGTGGCTGAACCACATAAAAATCATATCATTAATTTTAATCTCCCCAATCAATGATAATGTTATGTTGGAATGTTGTTAAAGAGGGTCAAAAATGTTTCAACCCAGTTTGTTTTGCAGATTCTGTATAGCAGCTTTAATATAGGGAGGACACAACTTCCAGATTGTGAGTAAAATCAGGTTTTTTCTCTTTGTCAGTTTAACAGTTTCTGTTGTGCCTGTCACTGTTCCCTGTCTGTTTTCTTACCTGGTTCTTCCTGACCTTGTACTTTCTCCTCACGTTCCCTCTTTCCTCTCTCCCTCTTTGGACTGACAATCATACACAAATAGATTGTATTCAATTAGATGAAAAATTACATTAATATGAAAAAAATTCTATTAAGATCACTAAAAAAAAAGTCCTCTCTCAGTGTACTTTCAACCAAAAGGAAAATACCAAACCACATGCTATAATAGATATACAGTGGGGCAAAAAAGTATTTAGTCAGCCACCGATTGTGCAAGTTCCCCCACTAAAATGATGACAGAGGTCAGTAATTTGCACCAGAGGTACACTTCAACTGTGAGAGACAGAATGTGAAAAAAAAATCCATGAATCCACATGGTAGGATTTGTAAAGAATTTATTCGTAAATCAGGGTGGAAAATAAGTATTTGGTCACCTCAAACAAGGAAAATCTCTGGCTCTCACAGACCTGTAACGTCTTCTGTAAGAAGCTTTTCTGTCCCCCACTCGTTACCTGTATGAATGGCACCTGTTTGAACTCATCATCTGTATAAAAGACACCTGTCCACAGCCTCAAACAGTCAGACTCCAAACTCCGCCATGGCCAAGACCAAAGAGCTTTCGAAGGACACCAGGAAAAGTATTGTAGACCTGCACCAGACTGGGAAGAGTGAATCTACAATAGGCAAGCAGCTTGGTGTGAAAAAATCAACTGTGGGAGCAATCATCAGAAAATGGAAGACATACAAGACCACTGATAATCTCCCTCGATCTGGGGCTCCACGCAAGATCTCATCCCGTGGGGTCAAAATGATATGAGAACGGTGAGCAAAGATCCCAGAACCACACGGGGGGACCTGGTGAATGACCTGCAGAGAGCTGGGACCAAAGTAACAAAGGTCACCATCAGTAACACACTACAACGGCAGGGAATCAAATCCCGCAGTGCCAGACGTGTTCCGCTGCTGAAGCCAGTGCATGTCCAGGCCCGTCTGAAGTTTGCCAGAGAGCACATGGATGATACAGCAGAGGATTGGGAGAATGTCATGTGGTCAGATGAAACCAAAGTAGAACTTTTTGGTATAAACTCAACTCGTCGTGTTTGGAGGAA